CCATGTGCCTTCTGTTTGCTCCAGAATTAGTTCATGTTTCTTTCTAAACCAACACAAAAAATAAATGAGAAATATATTTTGTACATTGTTTACCTTTAACAGAATGTATGGTTGTCAGCAAGCAAAAAAGCCCAAGATGTGAAATATGAATTGGAAATGCCAAAATCAAACAAATATTTAAATATCTAGGATGTTTTTTTTTAAACTGAGGATGGAAAAGGTGATTCTGAAATCTGAAGGCACACTGGAATAGAAAAGGATGCCTACCAAAAACTAAACAAGGTAGTAAGAAAAAGTATTTTTTTTACAAATAAAGAAAACAGTGCTGCATTGCTATATACCAATCCTGCTAAATGACAGTGAACACAGGACAGTTCCCTCACAGATAAAGAGAAGACTTGAGTCGACGGAAATGTGGTTTGACAGAAGAACACTGAGAATGCCGTGGATAGAATGGGTAAGCAACAAGTAAGTTCTTAAGGAAAAATGGAAATAAAAAGACCACTTATATTTATCATCAAAAAAAGAGAGTTGAAATTTTTAGGACACATAATGAGGAAAGAAGCATTAAAGAATTTGACACTCACAGGACATACAGAAGACCGATGAGATGGGAGGGTAAATATGCTTGTGTAAATGGACTGCCAAGAGCTACAAAGGATATAAAGTTGTGGAAAGCCATGATCATCCATTAACCTGGTGTTTCAAGCAACGGTAGAAGGTAGGTTAAAGTTGCATAGTATATATTTTACTCCATGGCCTATGATCTAAGTTGTATCTGTATATCAAGGATTTATTTTCTAAAAACTCACTCCTTTCAGTCTGGCAAATTCAATAAGGTCACATACTATAATATAGGATACATCTTTCCTCTTCAATCTGATTTAATTTTTTTTTTAAATAAGATGTCCCTTCAGGGTGAAGGTGATCATGACTCTTCATAGTTTTCTTTTCTTTATTATCTGCGAAATACCATTAATTCTTGAGAAAGTTATTCTAAGAAGTTTTTTTTTTGAAGATGATAAAGGTTTAGTGATACAAGTTTTATAATTAACCCTTAGCTGGAGGGAGAATAGGTGGATTCATATCTTTTGTAAGGGCATTTGCATGTAAGAAAATATTAAAAAAAACAAATGAAAATTGGAATTCAGGTCTCCAATTTGGTATTCCCAAGTGGTTGCTCATCTAGATACTGACCAGGTTTGATGTTGCTTAACTTCAGTGATTGTATGGGAACTGGTGTTTCAATGAGTTGTGGCCATAAACCAAATTTGGAATTCAGAGTTTTCTTCTCCCTCTTTAAAAGACTTGCTGCCACCCAAGGTTCAAAATCCCAAACTGCTCTGTTATTTAGCTGATGATAGGCATTAGTGCAAAAGTGAAATCAACAGAATTTAAACTCCACTGACAAATTTCCCTTTCCACACCTATATCTGTTATACCATCCACCTGATTTCATATTTCACATTTTTTCTTTCAATCATTTCACCCAAAAAAGACTTTAGTGAGGAGAAAGGACAATAAAAGAACACAATTCAGGAAGACAGAAGATGGTGACTGATGATGCATTTAAATTTTGGAAGAATGTTGGTGGTAGAGAAGCAAGAGATTTCCACAGGTGAAAAGAACAAAAAAAAATTACAGTTACATCTAGCTATTTCAACAATAAAATGATGAGACTTTGTTGTAACATAGAATGAGGAATAACCAAAACGGAGGTTGGAAATGAAATGGTAATCTTTATAATATCAACAAAATACAATACTCGCCAGCAGTGTGAAGTAGGTAAACCACTTCTTGTGATGGACTACTTAGACATCATATTACCTTCACTTACAATAGTGTCCAACATATTTATGAGGATTGGTATATACCCATTAGTGTTCATAGGTATGGTATATAACAAACCTAATAGCCAATCTAGTAGTATGTTTAAATTCATACAGTTGAGGTACCAAAGTCGAGAGCTTATTAGAACAACTGCCATAAAAATATTTATAGAAACAAGAGAGGGAAGCTGCATCACAGTGGTGGGAAATTGACTGGAAGTCAAAATGTCAGATCAGGAGCAATAACATTACAGACCCTTCTTTGGATTTTAACAAGAATCTCAGTCTAGAGCTCTGGAGGCCTGGCCATGAACAACTACCTTCAGGGACCTACCTGTTAGGAAGGACATTATTATTGAGAAGATTCTTCCACTGATTCCTTAGCTAGAGAGTTTGTTCAGTAATACTTTATGCCACATGTTGTCAAAGGCCTTTGAAATATCTAATGATATAGTCCTTGAGATGCATTTGTTGTCTAGTGCCTCACTAATTCTGTGAGTAATAGTAGTAAGGATATCAGCAGACCTATACTGTTTGTTACCCAAGAGGTTGTTCCTATTTAGGTGATCAACAACCTTCTGAGGAGACTGACAGATCTATACTGAGAGAGGGGGATGAGTGCTCATCCATGCTATTGAAACCATGCACATGCTTAACACATTCAACATACTTAGAAAGGATTTCTCCTTCAAGAAGTGGTTAAATAATAATATCACTAAAATTGAAGGAAAGTGCAATAACAGTTACTGGATATGAGAAAACTATTTTGCAGAAAAACTGGTTTAATAGAAAGATTTTAAAATTTCAACCATAAGTATCACTTGTAGTTTGATCAATGAATGCCAAATATTTCTGTTATAACTATTCAGCTATTGTTCAGACACGGAAGTACCATGTTAGCCATATTGTTTATGTGTGAATAAAAAAAGCTGGAGTCTTGCTTTGGTGGACAGAAGACACCAAGCCAAACCTGTGTAATCACCATTGCTACAGATCCCCTTAGCAAGTTGCAACAATTTCCTTAGAGGAAATCATCTAATATTACCATTAGATACAAGAACAGATACTACACTTTGATCCCAGACTGATGGCCACAAGTGAAGAAAAGCATAACTTGAGTAACACTTGTAGCCTGATCAATGAATACCAAATGTTTTTTTTTAACGGCTTCAAGCAGCTTATCCCCCAAAACCATTGCCTTCCAAGAGAATGCTTCCCTGATCTTTACAATCTTAACCAGTTCAAGTCTAGGCTTATCTTCCACACATATTTGCATAAACTGTGGCTCTTACTCTGTAACCCTCTACCTTGAGTGTCCCTCAGGGTGAAATTCATTGTAAAAAACAAACAAACCATGTCTTAAGTGTTTACTCCCTAGCTCTCCTTCTAAGATCAATATTTAGTTTATTCCTCCTGTGAAAAGTCACACACAAACATACTGCATCTTGCATTATTTGCCTCTCTTTTGCCATCTTTCTTTTGTTATCTTATAATTGCACAATGTTTATTAATTTTAATCAAGCATTTTCAGATAATTATAAACAGCAGTACATTGGATGGTTTCATCTCCTCCACTTGAAGAAATGGACTCTGCAAGAAACTTACATAATAAGTAAAGAGGTAGACTGTGGAATTATTGCTAGAACCAAAACCATCTCTGAAGTGGTATATCAGAAATATGTGAATTCCAAATAGACATCAGGGACACATGAAGACTATCATTACCCACAGGTGTTGCATGACAAGGATGGTAAGTATTTACAAAGAAGAATGTTACATCAAATTATATCCATATTCAATGATAGGGCTATTCAATCCATTAGTCAAATCACTGTACAGCTTACACTATACTGACATCAGTTACTGTGCCTCAACTAGAATGCAGTTGCATAAACCATCTATATATTTAGAGAACTAAAACCTTTACCAGGGAGTTAAAAATGTTTTCTACTTTATAAAATACATAAATCTCCACAGAACTATGCTAAATTGAAACCATGGTTGCTGACACTGGTCTTACAAAATTGGTGCTGCAAGAAGTTCATAAAATATCTCCTGCTCTAAGGTTTTCTTATGAAACACAAACAAGGTTATATTGAGATTATGTGAATATGTAACAGACATCAGTGGCATGTGAAAGCCATGGTTACCTACAGGTAATGCAGAAGCAGCAGGGTCAATGGCAGACAAAGATGGTAATGATCTAAAAAAGAAGTTCATAGCATCAAATTATATCCTTATACAATGCTGGTGCCACTCAGTCTATTAGTCAATGCCCTGTACAGTATGGACTATTAGTCATTGAGGTTTTGTAGCAACTGATACTATGGCATTGGTTACTGTGACTCAATTAGAATATTGTTGTGTAAACATTTATAAAATATATTTCTAAAGCTAAACCCTTTCCTACTATGACCACACCTCAAGGCCACTACAAATTCATCAAACAAACCATTGACTCCATGCTGTGAGTTATTGTTTTTTAAAGAAGATCACTTGCCATTTTTGGCTGAAACTGCCATGGTCTAGGTATGCTTATAAAAGGATGAAGTTGGAGAAAGATTCACACTGATGTCCCAAAGGTAACAATAGTCGCCTAAATGAAGCTACCTTTATTGGTTCAACAGTACTTCCAAGGAGCAGTGGTGCATGCAACAGATGCTCTGCACAGCCTGATAGCACTCTCTGTACAGCATGGTGATATAACCCCTCATCAAATGGGGAATCAAACCCTGACTACCATGGTGAGAGTACAGAAACCTAACTACTTGACCAATTGAGATGTCTTCTTTTTAAGTGGTTACATTGCCTCACCTAAACAATACCACATCTGATATTTGTTTTATCTGGTAAATGCCAATTTAAAAATTTAAATAGATGATAGTGTACACTTCAATTACTAATAGTCTCATTTAACAAATTCTAGTTTAGTTATGTAGGTGACCTAATTACTAAGAAATAATTCTAATTGTGTCTCAGTACTAAGTCAAAGATAATTCTTTCTACATGATAACATCCATAAATCTCCACAGAAATAGGCAAGACTGTAATTATACTTACTGTCACTAGCCTTACAATATTGGTGCTGCAGGGTGTAAGAAGTTCATAAAAGCAATCTTAAACACATTTGGTTCAGTCTTAAATCAAAAGTTATTTTGTAAATAAGTTTGCTTACAGCCATATCACATTGAAACACAAGTTCTCATATGACCACCAAAGTTAAGCAACATCAAGCCTGGCCAGTACATAGATGGGTGATGCTTGGGAATACTCAGTGCTGTAAGCTTGGATGTGCAGGTGGTGTAATGGATTACAACTCAGAATCAGAATTCAGAGAGCTGAGTTCCAATTCCATCTGGGTTTGTTAATTTCACATGCCCCAAATATCATTAGGAAAGGTATGAATTCACATCTTCTCCCCATACTATAGGTTAATTAGTAGAATGTGTATCAGTAAAAATTATTATTATCTCCAAAATATTCTTACAATCTAAAAATATTTTCTGATTTAAATAACTCGCAAATGGTTGATAAACCATAAAGGACAAATAATTAAATTATTTTTAGATAAACTCATGATGGCCTGAAAAGAATAAAATATAAAACACACACACACACCTATATTTGGAATAAGTAATTCATGAATTAAACATAAGAAAAACTGAAAGAAGAAAATTACCTTAAAATAATAAAATAGCGATATTGATATAAATCAATATTTTATATATATATATATATTGGGCTCCTCGAGGTGGTATAAATGTTAGCAAGCTTGTCTCACTAGAACAATTACGACTGAATAGTGAGTTCGATCCTCACTGGGTGCCCCTCTACTTTCGGCCTTGTGCCACATCTAAGCTATGCTTGGAAAATCACTATATATATATATATATAGAGAGAGAGAGAGAGAGAGAGAAAATTGAGAGGGAGAGCTTGATATGCTATAGCATTTAGCTACAGAGGAAGTGTCTGGTTAGCAAGGCCAAATTACTACTTTTATGGAAATTTGTAGTATATATATATATATATATATATATATATATATATATATATATATATTGTCATCTGCACACAGACTGTTTCACAGCTCATCAGTGTGGCTAGAAATCCAATTGCCTAAAGCTGGGATCAAAACCCAACTGATTTGGTATCAGTTGGAGAATCTACCCCTAAGCCACTGGCACATGGCAGGGATGAAGGTGAATTTAAATGTATTTATTTTTAGATAAACATGCCAGTGACTGGGAGAACTCAATTCATTTTATCGCAGAGTCTTGCATTAGCAGTAGTAATAATCACTGTTTACAAACTCACTTTTCCTCCCGAAGAGCTCAACTGAAATAATTTTTTTTTCAGGAGCATGTATATATTGTCATCTACATATAAAATTCTATTTTTTCCTTAGCTCCTCAGTATACTACACTCTGACAATACCTCATAAATAATGGATTATTCCATTTTGATTGTGAGGAAAAATGGAAAAGATATATCAGAGATGCTGTTTAGTTTTAGTGAAAAAGAGAAGATAAAAGATGCAATAAAATTCTCATGTATTTAACATCTTCATCGGTGAAATGGAAAACCTTAACAATTTTGAATCTTTTCCATTTGTACATTTTTTAAATAATGACCAGCATTCATATTTATTATCACAATATTTTGTTGAAGTTGTTAAGCCCAAATATTTAATGATGCAATAAGGGAATTTCTATGGGTGTTTTATAGTCGTGGAGCCCACAAGGAGCTTATTCAATCATTAACTTGAGAATTATTCATTAGAAAATTCAAATAGGAAAACTTAAGTTTCCATGGCTATTTCTAGTAAATAATAATATATTCATAATAATTGTTCATAATGATAGTGATTAAAATGGAGTTACAAGAAAAAAATTTCACATAACAGTCATGAGGTAATATTGAAATACAAAACAATAAAGAAGCAAAAGACGAAAAGATAATTTCTTTTCTTTTTTTTTGCATTTCGATATTAGCGCATTACCCTTATGTAAAATGTTCTTTCTTGTATTCCATTTTATTTGCTATTATTATAAATTTAATTGTTGGATTAAATTTCCTTGCTCTTCCATAATTAATATGCAGCATACTTGGCTGGTCATGTGACCATTAATGCCCAATCAATGAAGCACTTGTCTCTACAGGACAGAATCTGGGGGCAGACGCCATGAAGAGAAGATGTTTTTTGGAAACATAGAAAAAACATAACCTCTTATAACATGATGTGCTGAATTTGTAAGAGCAGATTTTTCTAATATTAACTAACCTTCCTTTTCAGAGTTGGAGAGAAGGCATGTAACAAATTTTTATACATTGTCAGCATATTTTCCTTCTATAAAATAAAATAAATAATTTCTCTGTAACTACCTTTATTTTCTTTTATTTTGAAAGCTTTTTTTTAATGACTAAGAATATTCTCATACATTTCATGATTCCATCATGAATAATAATAAATAATAATAAAAAATGAGCTTAAAATAAGTATTCCAGTGAACAGCACCTAGCAGGTAGGAGATGACTGCTGTGCAAATCTCATTTTTATGCCCATTCTTTCAAGGAGCAAAATAAAAAAAAAAAGGTTTGGCAGTCAGATATGAAGTGAAACCATTTAGATGCCTCTGATCTCACCCAATGATCTACCTACACATTCACACAA